TCCGTGAGTCGGTGGGCCTCCTCGTGGCCGTCCGCGCCGCCGTCCGCTTCGCGCTCTGGGTCTACGTAGCGGTACGACGGTCGCGTCCTTCCGGTCCGTGGTGCACGCCGTCGACTTCCGCACTAAGGTCAGTCGACGTCAATTCCATTCCATATGGTTGGATCTGCTAATGTTTCGAATTCATCGTATCTCTGGTTGAACAAATTTTATTTTACATCCTGAGGAACCAAGGTTCCAGATCAACAGTTGCCTTTGAGTAATCTGTAAGAATTTGATTTAATTAGCCTATATTGTTTTGGCATATGACTTACAGGGCACTCGGCAGCCAGCCAACAACTGATCTTGCGTCCAAGACTTATCTACTTCGGTATTGTTAATGGCAATAATATGTCCTAGACCACCATTTGTTGGGTGTGTTTGTGCTGCCTGAATCCTGACGCTTCAGTGCATAGTTAGCTTGAGTTTTGGGGTGCTCCCTGATGATTCTCACGTCGTGAAAGAATGGTGTTCAATATGATCCTTGTTGTTCAGCATTTGAGTGCTTAATATAAATACATTACTCTGGTTAAAACCATTTGCTTTAGTAACTACAATAAGTGATTGAGGCATGGAATAGTGAGAGAACTGGTCGTGGTAGACTTTTTCTGAACTTATATTAATTTTCCAAATAAATAGATCTTTTATTATAGTTGACACGGCAAGATTGACCAGCACATTGGCTTGAGGGGAGAGGCACAAGTGGGCCAGATTATGAGCCCGATATGGTATCTGGCCAGCCCAAGTGGGAGGAATTAAGGCAGCTGAAAATAAGACAGAGTTTGCTAAAAAAAAGCTGAAAACAAGACAGATCTTTGAAGGTTTGGACGAGAAGAAAGATCTAAGTTTAAGACAAATATAGCATGGGATCTTTCTTATTGACCTATACACCTTTAATCATTTAATTCATATTGCATGTGTCTACCTTGACTGTCACTAAGGATTTTCTAGTGCTTTGTTACCTTGTGCCTTGTTACCTATGGGTTATTACATTGGGTAATATTATGCTAGTGCTCAAACTAAAGCTAAGATCTTGTAACTTGACTAATGGTATATGCAATGAACATTAAAAGATATTTTTTTAGCAACTTGAAAACAGGGGGCTAGAGTGTTTAGCTACTTTTCTAAATGCTTCAGATTTCTCTCTCTAAGGACTTATCTGTAAGTGATCATCCGGGACTTATAGTACAACTGTGAGGGCTACATGGCACTGGCTTTAGCTCAGTTTGAGGACCCTTTTCTAGCTTGTTAGTGGTTACCTTTATTAGCATAAGAATGGCTTGTCGAATCGGGTACAGAACAACCTCTACTCTTATGTGTATATGCGTGATGGAATTGTACCATTCGATAGGAGGTTCCTATATCTGTTCGTCGAGTCAATCTAATGGCCCTAACTTGTTAGACGAACTTTTGAAAGGCTTCATAATGAACCCTGTCGACCTTCCTTGGAAGTGGGTCAAGAGATTAGCTACCTCGGGCGAAAGGGTAAATCATGGCTCACAGTGAAAATGTACAACCTCTGTAGAGTGTAAAACTGGTATATCAGCTGTGCTCACGGTCACGAGCGGCCTTGGAACATTTACGGCATAGATGATGAACACTGATGATTCTGATGATAAAGATGCTCACTAATAAATACTGTTTATGCTATTCATTATTCATGTTTACCTGATCATATGTTTATATGGGCTTGTGATAAACTTGTTGCTACTCCTATGCTAAAATTGTGACAATTAAAAGCTAATTGCAGTTAACCAGTGTCAACCTTTTGAGCCTCATGAACCCCATGTTATATTTGTTGAGTACGACATGTACTTACGCTTGCTTTATTTTTTACATATTTGAAAAAAAATCCCGGATGGGTACCAGACTGCTAGAGTTTGGAGAAATTAGGCTTGTGATCAACTAGTCAGTTGTCCCTGTGGAAGTGGAATCTTTACCTGAAGATCGGAGTTGTATTTCCGCTGTCTATACTCTGAGGTTGTATTCTTTATACTAATAAGCTATGTAATAAGCATTGTCTTATGATGTTACCCTTATTTGTAGGTATATATGAGATTTGATTTTCAGGCTCACATATGGTGTGTATCTGATTTTTCTTAAAACCAGGTGCTACATTCGCGCGAAAAATCGCGTGACTTGTGTCTTGCAACTTTGTATTAATTTTTTCCCTATTTTTTCATTGCATTTTTTGGTTTTCTACATCACTGCCGGTTTCACATCAGTGTCGGTTTATAAGAACCAACAGTGATGTCAACTCTTATCACTGTCGGTATGCCACTGTCGGTTCAAAATCCGGCAGTGAAGTGGGTTTTTAAACCGACAGTAATGTTAAAATCTGGGCCAGTGATATTTAATGTCCATAAAAAAAATATGAAATTTCCATTGAGATTGGTCTTATCATCGTATCCTTCCCGAAGGTGCCATTTATGATCTTGAAATTGTCGATCCACGTAACACGTACCCGTTCCTCGTACCTTCCATACCGGGAAACCTTGTGGACCGTGGTCCCAGATAGGGAGACATTTGTTTAACCTCCTGTACTATCAACGCACACAAGGTTCCTCACAAGCATTTATATGGTGCTTGCATTATTTGATTTTATTGAATTTGAAATGATGTCTCCAGTCTTCCCGATCCGTGAATGTTATCGTATAAGCAGGATGAGCGGAGGTTGGTAAATGTCACGCGTGACTCCTTGGGCCCATCCTATCTTGTATGACAAGTGAGGGCTACCACTTTTGTTTTATGACACCGATAATTCCCAGAATTTCGTCGGATAATAAACCTAGATTAACACATACTATTATATCAACTAATGTGACCAACTAGTTTCTACACGGAATAATGATAACACATATACTAGCTCTTGAATCCATTTGATTGCCTTGAGATGAATGGACCAATCTAATGTAGTAGCAGCATTGATTATTATCTCCGACAAGACAACAGTGAACCGTCAGTTTCCTTTCCTTCCTCCGCTTTTCCTTATATTTCCTCCCTTGTTGTTCTACTAAGCCGAGCATGTACTACAAGAGATCAACACCGGCCTATCCAAACGTCAGCTGCTACCTAGCAACTTCACGCAGTAGCAGCACAAGCGCACAGGCACATCTGCAACTGGCCGGGAATACAAGATACAAGCAGGCAGCAGCAAACAACTGACTTACAGCGGAGCTGGGACGAACTGGTGGCACTGCAGCAGCAGACGAACCAGTGGCAGCGCAGCAGCAGCGCGAACAGGAATTTGGCAAGGCAGCGATGGATTAGAACTCGGTGTCCAGCATGGAGATGGAGCAAAGGAAGGAGAGAAAACGGTGGCGGCGCTGAATAGGAGTCGGATGGAGGAGGAGTACGTGAATAGGTAAGGGAAACCTAGATGAAATCTGATGGCCCAGATTTATTCGGCTCGATACGGTTCATCCAAATGGAAAAGGGGAATATTGTTAATCAAATGAAATCGTCTCGACAAGCTCCACGAAATCAGGGACTTTGAACATACATACAGATTACGGTTTGAAAAGTCAATTTTTTCTCTCATTGATCCATCTGGTCAACCTACTAATTTCATAAAATTCAAAGATATTTTTTAGGGGAAATTCGACTTCCATCAATTAGACAAAGCTGAATCTGCAGCAAGAATATAATGGATATGCGCCGGAATAGAGGCCAAGACATGGTCCTCGTCCGGATCACACACGCTTGCCAGAATAGATAACTCATGAGTGACCCTATTACACGAACGGGGACGCTGCTGAACACGCCACGAAATAAAATTGAAACTTAACAAACTACGAAGCTCCTCCACTAGATTAGTTACTGCACTGAGATCGAAGGCATCAGATTATACTGCATTCTGGGTTCACTATGAAGAGCATCAGCCGCAGCCTGGACACCTTGAATACCAGCGATCAGCTCACCGTGAAGAGCATTCAACAGCGATTCTACTCTACATCGGCGCGCTGAAACAACATCACCATCGGCATCGCGTAGTACGCAGCCCCAGCCACCGTTTCCCGTCACAGCATCGAAGGCGGCATCACAGTTAACTTTGATGTACTCAGGTCCAGGCTTCTCCCATTTGCTCACTGGTCTGCTGCCTGTCCTCTCATTCTGGGTAGCCTGCTTCTTCCATTCTGTCATACGAACGTTGATACTATGCGAGAGCCAGAAAGCACCACGGCCTGTTTCTCCTTCTCTAATTCTGTTGCGCTCAGACCAACACATCCAGAGAGCATAACAACATTTTAATTTGGTCTCTTCCTTCAAGTTCATCACCGCCACCAACACGTCTCTTGCCGATGTCTTCGGCAGTAACATCTGCCTATCTCGGCTCAGCCCAAGATGGCTCCATAGCTCCTCCATGATCTTGCACTTGAAAAATAAATGTGCCCCATACTCATCAAAATGGTGGTAAACCACACATATGGTGTCACATTCATTCACTCTCTCCTCTACCTCAGTATAAAGCTTACCTACATCCTTTTACTATACTTGCTCTCATGGGCCACTCCACCGGACCTTGGAGAGATTAATGGCGGCATCCTTCGAGTAGCCAAGATCGGCCCAAGAAGTTGCAGCCTAGGCTAGAATCAGACAGGCCCAGCCCAGCAATGTAATGAAAGCAGCGAACAGAAAAGAGCAGTCACATTTTACGAAGCCTAGGCTAAATATTTCTGATTAGCATAATTTAGCAAGGCAAGAGCAAGTGATAGTGTCATACACTATATAGCAGTCGTCGCATGCATACAGATGATATCCAAGCATGAAGTGTAGGACATACGTACACGAGTCATTGTCACAAGGAAAATTTAACCTTTATTCATTTGGAAGCAGTACTAGATTAAAGTAAACATTATTGCACCAATGTGGAAACGAGAAAAAAAAAGTTGAAAGCAAATTCAAAGGTGTATAAAGATAACAACATATTATATATGGACTCCGTGGCATAATAGGTTGTTATATTAGCAGCTCCATGGGATGAAGCCAACCTCTCCTCCGGCCACGTTGTAGACCACCTCCGTGGTCGCCAGCGTATACGACCCAATCACGGCAGAGAAGGAATCGCCGGCGTCCAAGGAGGAGAAGGCGAGACAGGCCATGGTGAACGGAGCGGCGTCGGTGTCGTCGTAGTACAGCATCTGGTCTGCGTCGATCACCAGGATGTCGCCGTTGCTGAACTTGAACTGAACGTTCGGTATGACGAGGTCATTCAGATCGGTGAAGTTGAAGCACGTGTCGAAGCCGTCGATACCCGGCGACGAGAAGTTGTACTGCGACATCTGCTTCTGGAAGGAGTTACTCAGCGCCGTGTACGCGTCCGGCGCCAGCATGGTGAAGGTGGTCCCCACGTCCAGGTTGGTGCCGTTGTTGCCGAAGGTCCCCACCGGAATCGGGAGGTCCTCGTCACCGAGGCTCATCCGACGAGGTCGATGAAGTACAAGCTCGCCAGCTCCGGGTCGCCGTTGCTCACCAGCGGGGCGTGCACTGTGAAGTTGTCGTCTTTGACAGTGGCGTTGACGCCGAGGGAGAGGAAGCCCTGGGAGCTCGAGGATTTCGGCAGGCAGTAGGAGAAGGTGGCGGACGGGGCCTGCCCCGACGACGACAGCTGCGACGGCAGTGAGTTGCGGTTGCGGCTGAGGTCGAGGGTCCCGGCCACCGGCTGACCACCAGGTTTACTCCTGTTTAGGCAGACGAATTTGAAGTTGTCGATGGCCGTGGACGGCCCCAGCGTGAGCACATCCTCCGCAAACGTGCCGTTGATGACCGAGTATATGCCATCGAGCGGGCAGAACGAGCCGCCGGAGCAGTTGGTAGGACAGTCCGGCGAGCCGCAGAGGACATTGGCGAACGTCGAGGACTGTGACGTGTCGAACGCCGGATCACAGTCGTTGGAACCTGAGGCGCAGGGCTTGCACCGGAGCAAGGACACGCCGACGCTCCTGGTGTCGAGGAACACCGGGAACTGCTGCTTCGGCGTGCCATAGTTAACGAGCACGATGTAGTCCAGCGCGCCCCTCGGGTCCGACGAGCCATTGGTAGGGATTATGGTCGCCGCCGGCGATGGGGCCAGCACGGTCGCTGCCGGCGATGGGGCCAGCGCAGCCGCTGCCGGCGCTGGGGGTAGCGCAGCCACCAGAGACGACTGTGAGGAGAAACGGCGCCAGATGAGGGAGGCATCACGACGCAAGACATCTGCCGCCGTCAGGGACGGCAGCCCGTGGAACTGCGAGCATGGGCTCTGCCGGTGCACAACGGGTAGCTTGTTGTTTCCTAGGCCTGTAAAAGTTCAATATATATAACAATATATAAGAGTATATCTAAGAGTATTTTTTAAGCGCACTTTCCAAATCATCATTTGGAGGGCTACTTTTATATCTTTTGAACCTCCTATGATTTTTTTTATATGTTGTGCACCCTATATAGAGCTAATTCTGCTCTTCGTCTTTGGCTAGCAAAATTAGAATTTTGGTTGTTTCTCCATTCAAGATCGTTTGAAAGTTTTCGAATTTCAAATATGAAAAATTCAAACATAATTCAACGGAGTATGTTTTGTTAGTAAAAAATAAAACCATTAAATATATACGCTCTATCTATGTACCAGTTGCGAGGGACGAGCAGGTGGTTGCAGTAGACACCGTGGAGGCCTGCTGGGAGTTGCCAGATGACCTGCCAGTGCCAGGTGTCCTGGAAAAAATTTGTCTGGACCCTTGCTTGTAGCTTGCATGGGAGGAGGCGCCATGTGGAGCAGGAAGCAGAAGCACAAGCAGGCAGAAGAAGGAAAGAGAAGCAACGGAGGAAGTCATTGTGCTAGTACTATACTGCTACGTACATATGCATATGAGTCGTAGCGAGTGCACGTATAAATACGGAGGAGGGCGACGGCTCACCTCACAAATTCGCCTCAGGACCCACGCGACGAAATTTGTAATCTCGGAAGCACGCCAAGGATGATTATTGGAAAAATCACGACTTGCTGGCGTGCATGATTAATGCAGTGCAAATCATGACTTACTCCCCAATGCAAGCAAAGGATTGTTACTGGAAATCAAGACTTGCAGCTTGCTGGCATGCTACTTCCCCAATGAAATGCAATTGTAAAGCAGCGATGGAGCTACAGAAAGCGGCCAATGCAACAAACAAAATATCACAAATTGGCCGGCTGGCCGTGCAGGACAATGTCAAACGCGCCAGATGTTGGCCGTTGTGTTCTATGTGCATGAGTTGCATAATTTGGTGTTGTTTAGTTCCCGGGTAATTAATTACACGCCAAATTAACAGGTTCAGATCAATATACATGGGAATGTAGGTGTTTTGAGGTTGAGTAAAAACAATTTTACCCCGCAAGAAAAAAAACAATTTAAACGAAGGTAAGAACTTTGTGAATTTCGAATTTATATATTCAACTTAGCAAAATCGACCGAGGCATAAACTAGACCCGCAAAAATAGTGGGTGGACCCCTCGGTCCCATGTCACCCTTGGTAAAAGTGGCAACACGGGCTGCGATCCAAATATCCCAGCCACCACCGCACCTCGCTTCCCCTTGCCTCGTCACCACACAGCTCCCAAGGATGACAGGGATGGCGATCTCATGACAGCCCTGAATCTGCGCACGGACGTTCTGGCATGTGGCTGGTGCTAGGAGAGCCGGGAAGTGGTGCTCACTGGCGTGAAGAGGCTCCTTGGTGGGCACTCCAGTGGCCCTCTCGGCTGCGTGCTGCTCGGAAGGATGCTTCTCCACTAGCCACTCCGTCATCTTCCCCTCTCTTAGTTTTCTTACGAGTGACTTGCAATGGCCAATCGACGGCTCTCCAGCGAGTTGTTTTCCGATTCGGCGTCCTGCTTGTGACTGGATCTACACACTATCCCCCGGGTTAATCTTCCCTTTAACGGCCAGTGGTGCGGTGTTCGCCGGCAAGGGCACTTGGGGCGAGGCTAGCGAGCGTTAGTTCTACAAGCACGTCATAGGAAGTGCTATGCCTGTTGTCAGGAAAATAGACCCCATGGACCATTTTAGTTTGGATTTTGGTGTTTGATGATCAACTTGATTATTTGGACTAACATTATTTGCTAGTGTCTTAGGATATAGATCAAAGGGTGCAAAAGTGGACTTGGACTTAGGCAACGTAGTGATCCAGTTGATCAACATCTAAGGCAAGACATTAGAAGACATTTAGAAGACCTTGCTGAATACATCCAATTCTTTAATGAAATTTGTACTAAACAAAGAAATCAAATAAGTGAGCTTAAAAACAATTATATAAAATTTGAAATCTAAAACAAAGAATTGTAAAAACACTACTGATACGCAACCATTTGGAGTAACACTATTTGATAGTGTCTTTGGATATAGTTCAAAGGGTGCAAAAGTGGACTTGGACTTAGGCAGCATGGTGATCCGGTTGTCAACACTAAAAGCAAGACATTAGAAGACATATAGAAGACCTACAAGACAAGCAAAAGTCCAAGACACAAGATGGAACCAAGTTGTTCGTTGGATGTGAAGATCACAAAGAAACAAGTCAAGATGTGGCGCGAACCATGCATCGGACTGGACCCATATGGCATCAAACCATAGGCAATCCAAACCCTAGCCACGGTGTTTAGTAGGAGCGTCGGACCGAGCGAGAAACGGGGCATCGGACTAAATGCCACCACTGTTCACGCGAGCAGCCACGTCGGACCGAGGGCATAAGAGCAGCATTGGACCAAAGAGGATGGGTTAGAAGGCATGCACAAAGGTTCCACAGAGGAGCCCCAACGATCGGCAACAACGACAAGTTTCAAGGGCTAGCTATGGACTAGGTGTCAGAATGGTCTGACGAACCCTCATTGGACGGCCTGGTCAGTGCGCAGAAAACTTGTGTAAGTTCCAACGGCTACATTTGGATTTGAGGGCTATATATAATCCCTTGGCCGCCCATTCGAAGGGGTGTAGAGCTCAAGGAAGACTTATGTGAGTTGAAGCTCATCTCTAGTTGCTTCAGCCACCAAAGTGCTTAGTGATTGATGTACTCGATGATTAGCATTGGTTCTTTGCGAAGTGCTTATGCTAGTTAGACCATTGCTTTAGCGCTTGCTCTTGGTTTAGGCCTAGTGTTTAGTAAGGTTTGCGTACCCCTTACAACTCGGTGCTTGCGTGCACCGTTGTTGTACACCAGAGGGGCTTTGTAGACTTGCGAGACCACACCAACCGCGTTTCACTACTAGATTTTGATCCTTTAGCCACACTATGCACTGCAAGGACACAAATTTGTTTGCAATACATAGGTGTTATTGAAACATTTTTCATTTTTGGTGGCAATAGTAGACAATATAGCCATGATTATATTTGCATTGTGATTTCCATGAAAGTCATTGCAATTGGTAGGTGCTATTGCCACCATTTATAAAACAGGTGCAAGTGCTTGACAATATTGCCACGATATGGTTTGCGTTGTGATTAATTTTATTTGCATTGCAATATGTAGATGTTATTGCCACACTTTTACTAATGGTCACGAATACTTGATAATTTTGCAACACATTTGATCATGTCGGCGTAAAAACATGTCGATGCGCCGAGCACACAGCAAGCCGAAAGGATCTGCTTAATGGAGCAAGGCTGGAGATCCGCTTGGCTTCAACGCAGGGTTAACCGATCCTACGGATTCCTCCTGAGGCGTGCCAGTCAATTTGACCTACAATTGACAAGGAGAGAAAGTTTATCAGTAATTTAAGATGGAACATGCTGGTTTTTGCCCAGACAGTTCCAAGTGTGCGGCTTCGGGAGCAGCCTGACGGGAAAAATTGACTAAATAGCCGACACGCGAAAAATCGGCTATTACGGACTATAAAGCTTGTGGGTAGCGATTGATTTTATATTGACAAGTACAGTGCACGCAGATGTAAGTAAGATCATCAGCTAGGTAGATATTACCAGTGTAAAGCATTAAGCTGACGAATCTAACGAGAAATGATATAGCATGCGAACAAATCGACTGTCTAGTACAAATGGATCTACAAACGCTCTGAATCTAATCTGCTACCATCAATAGTGAGGTTCGATCGGATTAATAGCAGCTATGATGATAATAACAAACTAAAACCAAAGAATCCGTAAAACCATCAATACATTGACAGGCTTTTCAAAAGACATGCTATATGTGTGAAAGCTCAAACGGATCGGCTGAAATAGCTGATTCAGGTGGAAAAGGGACTACAGCATGTGAACAATCGACTATTTAACATGGACAAATCTATAAACTCATCAGACTTAACTTGCTATCTCTAACAGTGGGGTTCGACCTGATTGATGGCAGCCGTGATAAAGACAACAAATCAAACCTTTAAAGTAAACAGATCTATTCACATTTAATAGAATCATGGAGACACATCGTAGGCGTTAAAGCATAGGCGATCGGCTATTTAGCCGATGCAGGCATAGCAAACATTAAGGTCACGCATGATCGATAATAAATCTACCAACTAGCATCCTCCAATCTAAAATGCCATAAGTGGGGATCGATCGGATCGTTACAGCTATAATAGCGAACTATAGACCAGATTTAACTAGCTAGCAAACCTCTTTAATATCATATGTGTCTTTACCATGTACTATTCATGATCAAGATCGAGGTAGAACAACCAATAAAACGTAACCCGTCGCTCAAAGGAAGAAATATCGTGTTGTAACAAAGCAAACGACGGACTAAAAGGATATTAGGCCGATCTAGATCGATCTCGATCGGGCAGATTGATGTTGCTGAAAACTAATAACAATAAGAACATCAACAAGATCGGTAACTTAATGAATCTACCCAAAGGACGCCGCCCTTAGGTAGAGCCAGTAACTTGACCTTGATCTAATTCGAGCAGTGGAGGTCGAATTTAACCGATGCAGCCATACTTGAATAAGATAAGAGTCGATAACTAGCTTATACTAGAGTTCGCAGTGGAGGTCAAACTTAACCGATGCAGCCGTACAAACAGAAGTATAAGCCATGACGGTACTTACAGACAAGCCGGAGGTCGGCCGGACCGATGTAGCCCTGCTTGTTGAAGAACTCACCGAGATCTACACTACTCCTACTCCTAAGGGTTGGCGTAAAGCCGAAAAAGTAATTTGTATTGGTCGATTGGATGTCTTTTTTACAATAGCCGGGGTCCAATATTTATACTAGAGCCTAAGCATGAATCCTACTTAAGTATGACTCATTACAATTTTTGGTATAAAAAAATATTCCTAACTTAAGATAACTTGGACCTTAATCTTTCCCTTTTCGTAGGGTCCGACATATATTTCCCGACGCCAACCGTAGCTCATTGTCGTTATCTGCTGACGTCATTCAAAGAGAGCCGATTCCAATGCCGCATCTGAATCAGCTGATATCGATCCTTATGCAATCAATTCCTTCATTGACACGATCTTGGAAGCTTCGAGTTCCCGCGTTCTTCTTCCCAAATTTTGGTGTAAACAGATCAGTTGCATGAATTCGTCACTTGCGTTGCACTAGAGTTTTATCTATACCATCGGAGTTCTGGATCGTTGCATCTTCAAAGGTTGTATTGCCACAGTTGTTAGTCATTGTTAATTTGTGGCCTACCCCCCACTGTGTACCAGAGGGAACGAGGCCCTCTTCGATTTGGCCGGAAGCTCGATAGTGAAGATGGCGGGCAGCCGATCCAGGAGAGGCCATCTCGGAGACCCACTTGTGCGTGGAGAAGGCCCGACTGGATCTATCCATGGAGTTACCCGACTAGGAGCTTACCCCTTGCGAGCGTGTCCTTGCGTGGGGCTCCAATGAGGACCAGGGGAAGCTTGCG